AAACCTCCAGTTGAAAAACAAAAATCTCATGAATCTGTTTCTGTAACCACTTGGGTATTGAGTGGGGGCTACGACAATTCACAGATCTAAGTTCCAGTCAAAGCTTAACACAATATTTTCTACCTACCATGTGTGTCGTTGAACTTCTGTGAGCCTCATTTTCTCATCTCTAAAATCGTAGTAGTTTTATTACTTACCTTTCCAAGTTATTGTGAGAAATGATGAGATAGTGTATATACAGACCCTCATATGCTGTATATTCAATAAATGTTAGCAATTATTGTCAATTTTAGTTTCTACTACCTTTGATTAGTTTACTTAGAAATACCAAGACCTGAATGTAAACTTAGTTGTATTTCCACTAATTTCTGTTAAAAGAGATTTCTCCCAATCTCTGTTATAGCTCCCTTTTGTTTTTTCCCCAATAAATTGACAGATGGATAGAGCTTTATACCACAAATTATTCCAATAAAAACTGAGATTTTTTATTCCTATGAGAAAAACAAAATGCTGCCTGAATGATTGTAAAAGGTAAATTGAGAATTTATCTAAAGTAATGTAAATTATTTTAGGCTCCTCAGAATAGTCCATACCTCAATTGTTTTCTTCCCCAATACCAAGGTTAATACTGACGTGCTCTTATGCTGAGGTAAATGATGTGGTTGCTGAAACTTCTGTCTAGGACTTTTATACATATGGACCAATTTATATAAATCTTATACTCTCTATATATTATAAATTAAATAACTTTAATTTCTTGGACTACTCCTTGAAATCACTATTGTCATAAAATTTGTATATTTAAGAATTCATATTAGCTTGTATTTTATATGCATAAGAGAAGAAATAAAAGAGATCATGCCCATATTCTTAACAACTTATTTTTCTTTTTCTCCCATATGATTTATATCTTTTATCAGGCTTCTTTAAAATAGTGAAATTGTTATTCTCTCATTTTGATTCTAACTACTTTGATGTGTTTTAAGTCAATGAAATTTTTGGATTTTTTAATCTTACAATTGTAATATGAATGTGAACCAAACTATTTCTATCTAGCACCTAAAACATAAGAAAACTGGTGCATAGTCATAATAATTTTGTTTAGACCCTAAGAACTCGTGCCTGACTTAGAAATTATTAAAGATGTTTATGTTTCATATTGTTTCAGAGTTAAGTATATTTTATGTGTTCTAATTCTTACAAAAAGAAAATCAATTAGTGATAAGATCTTATTACTTTGACCCTGCAGTGAAAAATGAATTTGTTATGAGTAGGGACAACCCACTGAAATTAATGCAGGAAGGTAAATTTTATATGTGTAATTCAAACACAGTGTGGTATCCAAATTTTAAAAGATGAAAATAGGAAATCCCTTAAGAAAACCTAATTAGAACAAAATGCCATGTCTCCAACTATGTTCTAGGATGCCAAGTGAGCAAAGGTTTAATTAACCTTTTTATTATTTAATATACCTATTTTTAAAACTTACATTTAGCCGCATTAGATATTGTCTCCCATACCTAGAATAAATCAAACTCTGAAACTAGGCTAAATTATCTTTTAGTGTTAAGGAAAATCTCATAAACTTCAGAAATTTTACATGTCTAAGGCAGAGTGCTATCTCTTAATGTATGGGTTTCATTGACACACTGCAATGTTTATGACTAGATTTACCAGTGCTAGGGAAAATCAAAACTTTCTAGAGTTATCCCAAGGCATCAGAAGATACACCTCTACCACTAAAAAGAAAATCATAAAATTTTAATGCTGAGAGAGATCGTGGAGATGATTCTTCTTAACCTCAACATTTTCATAAGATTAAAGTAGTATTTCAAAAAACAAATTTACAAATTAGAACAGCAAAGGGTCAGATGGAGAAGAGATTGAAATCTGAAAAGAAGCAAAAGGCAGGATTAGAGGCAGGAAATAAGGAAAATACAAAAAAGTCTGCTAGGGTATGTTGCCTGAAGATCTAAAAGAAAACATTTATACTAGTATTTATTTTCCCCCAGAAAACAAAAAAATCCCTATCTTTCTTCCCCCTGGAAAATAGCCCCTGTACCAGGAAAGCATCCTAAGGCCGTCCCTATTATATCTATCACCCTTTTATCATCCAAATCTCTCTAAAGAGCAACACATTTACCCTGTGTGACTGAACAGTTGGAACATTATTTTTTGGAGAAATGGAAATATCTTCTCTTGCTATTTCCTTAATTCAGATTAATTTTATGGCACAATTGGATATCACATCTAAAGAAGGCCAGCCTGTCACTAAATGCATGGCTGAGAACAGATACTTTCCTGTTTACACAAAGCAGAAGTACCCAGGGCTTGAAAGGTAGTGGGGAAGGAAGTGAGCAGAGTGAGAGAAACAAGGTGCAGCAAAATAGTCCAGAAAGCCTGAAATAAATTACGCTTTTGCATAGTTTTGACACTGTTTATCTTGAACCATATGCAGACAAATGGGGGTTTGTGTGGAGAGATTTTCTCATGAGTAGTCATGCAGGCACAATGCTTTCCATAAATATTCCTTTGAATATCACAAAATCCACAAATGGATGAAAAAATCATTCACTTGTTTGATTTTGATTGTCATTTTGTATGAGTAACTTCTTCATGAACTACCTTTGTTCTCAGAAGATATGTGTACTGAGATATGATGGCATTCAGAAAACTTTTAGGAAAAACTTTGGTCCTGTGAAAGCCAAGTATTCTTAATGTTTTAGTATGAATCAGGGCTTAAATTTCTGTTAAGAAAGAAGCAGCAGTGCATAACCATGAGCAATGTTAAAGAGGGGTGAAGTTACCAAAGTTTCCAGCAGCGTCTCAACTTTTGCTGCTATGGGGAAAGTAATCCGCCTTTTAGTTCTTGTAGGACAAGATGTGCTTGAGTGCTTTCTGGCATGCTAGAGCTTCCCCTTTGTGTATTGTATGCATGATTTAGAAGAAGCTGTGTCAGCACTGATTTATACATTGACAGCTAAGGATAATAAGATATGGGCAAACATACAGTTCACCCTTTTACAGATTAACCTGGAGACTGCATTAGGCAAATTTGATAGCATTAAAAGATTTTGCCAATTTGTCTGGAAACAATTTCTCTTTTGTAGTGTGTCAAGGGTAACACTTCATGCCATTGTACTAATTTAAATGGCTATGATAAATTGTTCAAGAGGTTAGAGAATAGTAGTGCAAATATATATTTAGCACTTTAAAATAAAATGGCTATTAACTTAGTTGTTAAATGAATTTCATCTGTAAAAATCAAAAGTGCTTAAGAATCTAAGTGTTTTTTTTTTCTTGGAACCACAGCAGCCATATTACATCACGAAGCTTTAAAAGTCTTAGAAAATAAAATTATGTTTCTATGTTGCTTCCTAATAAGTAGAACGATTTAGCATATTACAGTAATATGGATGGTAGTTATTATTTGGGGATAGTCTTAGTTTATAAAAGCAATACAATTGTATCTTCACCTTTTTCTAATATTATATGTCCTAGATTGTACCAACTGCATGACATCGAGATAGTCTCATTTGTGATTGTGTCCCCTAGAGACCTTCTTAAAAATGAGATGTATATTTCATGAGACATTCTCTATGTACATAATTTCTAAAGTAAGGAATTTAAATTTAAATTCTGAAAGTCACTGGATTAAATCATTGCACCTTTATTCAGTAGTCTTGTGAGAAAAGCAGCTGTTTTATGGGAATGCTTAAACAGTTCTTTAAGAATGGATCTCAAATATGAATTAGCCCTTTTGATGAATTTTGAACTTGAAACAAGGACAAGGCTCATTTATATTATGATCATAATCTTACTCCTGTACATCTGCATTTCTTCACCAGTGCATGTAGAGATGACAACTCACTTGACTATTTCATGAAAGGGTTAAAATACTTCTTTTCTTGAATAATAATATCTTTAAGCTTCAAGCTACTAGATTTAAAAAATTTTTTGTTTGGAAAAAAGAAGATGGTGTAGTAGGATTTAGTACTTAGCTGTTCATTTCAAAAAAGTAGATTCCTTAATATGATTACAGAAATTTTACTTCCAAAAAACAAGAGCAGTAAAAAGCAAACAAATAAGTTCGGAGCATCTTTATTTTTTTCCACCTTTGAATTTTATCAAATGAACTGATACAGCTGCTAATCTTTTTACCATAGATGTATGCAGTGTTTTAATGATATACCTGCAATATTCTTCTTAGTTTTTTTTTTTTTTTTGAGCATCTTTGAGAAAATCAAAATTCTCATTAAATTTTTAATGCTTAAAAGCTTATTTTCTGGAGAGCGGTGTAATTCTGGAAGTTCTTTAACTCAAAAGTATGCTGTATTTACAGGGCAGAGAATTTGCATATAATGATAAAGAATGCAAATTATGAGAATACTGAAGCTTAACACAGAGCAACAGCTAACTTTGTAAATTGTATTCCGGATGAGGAATAGCAGAGAGATATGTGGGACGTCAATTTTCTTTCTTGATTTGGAGTTCTCGAAGGAAAACTGTTTTTTTAAAAAAAGAAACCTAAAAGTAGTCTTGCTGTTTCTTGCCAAGGATAGTGAAATTAACATGCAGCTGGGCTTCTCTGATAAATGGATTCTGTTAGGTCACTGAGGGGGTGCATGTGACATTAAGTGATTTACAGTCCTTTACCTTAATGAAATTGTTTCAGCAAGATGACGCTGAAAGCTCTTAATGGATAGCTTTTCTTGATGTAATGAAATTGCATTCCTATGGCATTTAATATAAGGTGCAGTTATTATTTACTGGAGCTTTCCAAGGGCTGCTATTTGCACAGACAGTTCAGAACAAAAAGGGATTTCAGTGGCTGCATAGAGGCCAGAATGGCTTGTGACATTCTTAAGCAGATGAGTGTGTTTGTGAGAGCATTTTACTCAGTGTGGCCAGGGCTTCAGAGACCCTTTAGGAGACTTTCTGTCACCCACCCCTGCTACTGTGCATCCCTTTTGCATATATTCTTCTAATCTGTTTAATAGGCAACTGGATTACAACCAGATCAGCTGTATCGAAGATGGGGCATTTAGGGCTCTCCGGGACCTGGAAGTGCTGTAAGTACTGCTTATTTCTTCTACTCTTCTGATGGAAGCTTTGTGTCTGGGGTGCTCTAATGTGGAGGCTTGTCTGCTGGCTTAAAACCATGTGTCAAAATGGTCTACTAAAGAGATACCTTAACTAACTCATAGTGAATACACAGAAGAATCAAAATGTGTGTGTGCAAAACCTTGCATATCATATCTGTATGTTTAGGTAGAATTGTCTATCTAAGGATACTTAAATGTTCTTCTTATAATATTCTCAGGATTCACAGGATTTGTGAAAATTCCTATAACTGCTAAATATTAAGATAAAATTAATTTCGTAGAAACAATAACATCAAAAAATAAACCTCTTAGTAACTGATATGTTGGTATGTTTTGTAATTGTTGGGTAATGGAAAGATGTTTTTAAAAATGTAATTTTTAACCTGATAACTTAACATTATCTTTGTAAGGTTATGTTGAAATTCACTTTCTAATTTTAATAAGCTGTCCATTAGATCCATTTTAAATTCTTCACTACTGACTTTGTAATGCACAACATACAGACTTGGATTATAATTGGGATCCTCTCTCTTTCCTTGCTGAGTAAACATGACTGACAGAACCAGGTGGAGCAACTAAGTTATCTCTATTGAACTTTGACTTAGTAAAATCATTTTAATAAAGTGATTTTTGAATGAAAAATAATTTTAATGAAAAATATAGTTACTAAAGCACTTTACACCGCCCATATATATCTGGATTATTTTTTGGTCAAAGACTCATATTTCTAGTTTTTTTAAATATACTTACAGATTTCCTCCCCAAATAAAAATATTTTTCTCTGCTTTATTTCTTCCTTCATACAACGTAGTCAGAAATCTAAAATTGAGTTAAATGTGAAAGGGTTTTGAATTTTTAGTCTATTTGTTAAAAGTTATCCAGAAATCATCAAGTTCTGAAAAAATAAGATTTGTTGGTTTATAAATTAAGTTTCAGGAACAGAATGCAATTCTGAAAAAAATTTCATTTCTAAAATTTCATTTAGTATGGCTTACTTTGGAACTATTTTCTATGTGATTTTGGTTTAAATTACAAGTAAATGAATAGAATTTCTAGCTATGTCATAAGTTATTAATCATTTTTAAATATTTACTTATGAATTAGTTGATTGAGATAAATAGTGAAATATAAAAATATATACTGTTGTCTAACTACGTGAGAGGTCCCCTGAGTTTCTGTTGATAACAGTCTTTTTCTACAGGAAAAACATTCAAGGTACTTATATACATTTCAGTTATAAGGTCAATTTAAAAATTATGTACCAGACCCAATTTTAATATACAAACTCACTGAAGCTATTTCAGAATTAGAATAATGTTGATACAACTATGATTTCATGGTAGTGGTCTGATGGCAAAACCACAGTCAGTGTCGCTAAACTTCATATGTGAAGAAAATTATGAAATGTTCTCTTTTTCTCTTATGAATATTCTCTTTGTATATGAAGAGAATTATGAATATGAAGAGAAATATGACAAGAATTATTTAACTGAATGGAGCTAATCAAACTAAAAAATCTAGCATTAGATCAGTGCTCCAAACTAGTAATATGAATTATACCGATTATTATATGAAAAATTTGCTAAGTAGTTTGGATAAATTAAATCCCTTGAAGTACCTTTTTATTAAGTAAAAAAGCTTATATTTGTATTACATATGGAATCATTCGGCTTATTTATTCAATATGTATGTATATATATAACATATATATTGAGTATCTGCTATGTATCAAGTAAATTAAAGTTTGCCTTTTATAAACATTTGGCTTTTCTTTAGAATAGAGTTTATGCCCAGAAAGACTCCAGAAAGAAAGTTGTCTATTTTGTTTATTTTTACAATTAATAACTCTTTGGGATATATTTAATAATGTGGAAATAATGAAGGGACATTAACTTGCAGATCACCTTAAATTTCAGATTTCAGATGTTTTATGTATTTAAAATTTTTAATTCTATGAACCATTCGTGAGTGTATGTATGACTATACTGAGGCCAAACGGGAAAAGATGGGGGCAATTATCTTAGGTCAATGATAAAAATGTGTTAGATTAGGATATACTTGGGGGGGGGAAGTGAATGAAGTCCAAGAAGTCAAGTGAAAAGTTAAGGTAGAAGATAGCAAGAAGGCAGTTTGTCACTTGTCTGTTCATGGCAAACTGGTTTCTTGTGGAATCTGGTTGGTAGGATTTAGAATCGACTGTTTATTTTCTTATTGTGAAGATATCATCTCAAAAATAACATCGAACTAAATCTAGATCAATGCTTTCTTTTTATTTGGACACTAGACTCAAAAATGAAATGTATTCCTTGAGTTGCTAGTTTTACATTTTTTTTCCTTTTCCACAGAATGGGCATAATTTAATTTAACACAGTGATTCACATCCATTAAATACCAGACTCTCTGCAAAGCCCAATGCTTGGCACTAAGGGAATAAATAGAATAAATTAAGATCTAAGAATGAGAGGTGCTCCATGATTATAAAGGCTAACATTTTGTATTTACACATGATGTCCATTGTACTAGAATACATTCTAATTACAAGGAGAAAATCTTCAGGTTGAGCATAAAAATAATACATAGGCAAAAGCATTCACAAATGAATAAGTGCAACATATAAATGTGCATAATTTTCAAATAGGAATTGATCGTAACCATAATATGTGCATATCATATACCTAATTAACACATATTTATTACTAATTTTTAAAATAACTTAATTTTGTTGGTTTCACATATTTTCGGTCACTGGATATCAGTATCTACATTGCTTTACCAGCATCAATACTGAATAAAATACTAAGATAATTTATTTCTTCAGTTGCATTATGTGAACGAACATTTTAAGAAAAGACTTTGAATTGATAGCTACAGGCTTCAGCATTCAATAAAAACTTTCCTTTGCATGGAAACGTAAAAACACTATAGTTCAAAATTAATGCATGTCTGCTGTGTGATTTACTTTTAAAAAAAATGTTATCCCCAGAGTCACATTTCAGAGTGCTATATTCTCTAAAGATTTTAGCCATATTAAGTCAGCATAAATTTCGAGGGTGGGAAAAGGAGTCATTTGGAAGCAAATCCCTTTGAAAAGTGAAACCTTTTAGTTCAAACATCAAGATATATTTTAAGGCATTTGAAAAAATCATCTCATTTTGCTTGAGCCCAGGAAAACGTAGAAGCTTTTAGATAACATAAGCCAACCAATTCAGTGCTTTACAAGTTCTCCATAAAGTGGTTTATTTTTCCTATGTGACTTAATTCAAATCTCTGAGATTAGTTCTTATATCATTCAATACACTGCAAAACTGGATAGCAAAGAACATCAGTGCAGTTCTAGGTCTGTCTCCATTGTGCCCTACTTTACTGAGAAGTTTAAGTTAATCCCTTAACCCCCAAACGCCACCATGGATAACCACAGGTACCAGTTGGCCTAAAGTGGCCTTATTTTGCTTATCCCAAACAAATTTGGCCCACAGACTCTTTGAAATATTTGAATTAATTACCAATATTTAAAAATTAGAAGGCTTTATCTAAAAATTTCAATTTCTAGCTTCCCTTGGAAAAGTAAGATGGTTTGGGCCACGATCCATTGGAGCTGCTACAACAGAGAACATCATTGCTCAGTGACGCAAGTCCTCACCATCCCCAGCTGTCTGTCTGACCTTCTCCATCTCTCTGGATTATTGTGTTTTTAAAAAATTTTTTTTTTCTTTTTGCACGTGGCCTACTTCTCTCATTTAAGGTCCCTGCCTGGCCTCTATAAGTAAATGAATTTGCAACTCCTAATTCAAACCCTTCTACAATATCAAACATCACCCACCTGGACCATTGATGCTGTCTTTCTTGTCTCCTTCAGAAATTTGTCCCTTTTAGTTACCACCCCAGTGTATCTTCAGTCTCTCCCCATCCTGGAATCCCTTTCCGTTCCCACACTTTATTCACACACCTCAGGATAACTGTTCTGTCACTTGCTTATCATAACCAGTCTTCTCTGAAGCAAAAATAACTCTCTTCTTAATCTTATTAACTCTAAATTTTTAAAATGAATCTAATTCATCTCCCTAGTTGGACTGTATGCTATTTTATGACAGGAATTATGTCTCATTTATTTTTATCATACTCCGTGTTGCCAGAAAAAAAAAATAAAATAACAGTCATTCTGGAGATATTTGATGAAGGAGGAGGAGTAGTAGAAAAAGTAGGAAAAAATTGAACCAAGCAAGGATAATACTTATTTTCAACATAATTCCCTCGGCCACCTATCTTCCTGGCTCTACCTCGTGAAACCACGATCACTACCACACACCACTAAACACAAAACAGGTTATGCTGCTGTAGCTAAACATTGTTAGAATAGATTAAGCTTTTAATATAGGGCTACAGCACGTCACTTCATCCCCACCTGATGCAAGTACCAAATAGAGATGTAGGTCTTTCTACTCAAATTTCAACAGCAGCTCATGTCCGTAGTAAAGAACAATGAGCAAGATGCTGTTCCAGCACTTGACAGGAATGACTCTGTATTGTCGCTGTGAGATTTCAGTTGGAGAATTCAAATATGTTCATTTACTAATGGACACTAATTAAATACAATACCTCTCTAAGGAAATGTAATTGTTCAAATTTTCCAGCTGTGATTGCTCCATGTTCATTTCTTAACCAATATTATGAACAGACACATATCTGGGTGCAGAATGTAACATGTAAATAGTCAACGATGCTATGACTAAAGCCATAAATTTGTAATAAATGTTGATAAAACTGAGTGTATAACAATATGTTAAAGTATGAAATTTATTTATCAACTTATCTGTAAAATAGTGTGTTGTCTATGCCATCTCTACCAGATAGTTTTCCTGCATAAGCATAGTCACAAAAAGTTTTCTTTAGGGCCGGCCCTGTGGCTCACTCGGGAGAGTGCGGCACTGGTCGCACGGAGGCCGCGGGTTTGGATCCTATATAAGGATGGCCAGTGCGCTCACTAGCTGAGCGTGGTGCAGACCACACCGTTCCGAGGGTTGCGATCCCCTTACCGGTCAGAGAAAAAAAAAAAAAGTTTTCTTTATATTAATATAAAAAATCATAAATACATTTTTATATCTAAAATTTCTAACTTTTTTTTATCCTACAGAACTCTCAACAATAACAACATTACTAGACTTTCTGTGGCAAGTTTCAACCATATGCCTAAACTTAGGACTTTGTAAGTAGTCTTTATATATGTTAAGATGAATTTAATCAATTAAGGGTCCCCCCCATTACCATTTTTACTAAGCAGAGAACAGAACCACTAGTTTATTATGGGTTAGACAAAGAAAAAAAAATTTAATTCTAGATATGACATTTGAGTAAATGAACTATTATTTTGAAGACTTGAAAGCTTTCTTTTGAATGATATGCATTATGGGAAGTTTGGAGTGAAAAAAAAAACGTTTACTTTGAGCTATTGTGGAGGTCACATTTCATTAAGAAATGGAAAACTACTTGATTGGCTGTCAGAAATGATAAATGGGAAATCTTTATGATTTTATTACAGTACTGCAAGCAGACCTAATAAAGCTAAACCGGTTCTCCAACATTCTTTGTAACATAAAATTACTGCATCACCCTCTAGTGCATTTATAATTAAGGTTGTGTCAGCATTTATATTTAAAAATATCTTTTCAGGGTTTATCAATGAGCACTAAGATATTTTTGGTGAATAAAAATGGTTCTCTGATGAAGTATTGACTACAGCTATATTTTTCTCTTGGAAAAAAAAATGTAATTCTTGAAGTCCAGGGTAGATGTATTACACAGGTAAATCTCATTTGAACTGGGTTTCAGAATCACCCTGACCTAAAAAATATATTACATATAACATTTGAGAAATGGTTGGAAACAAAACAAAAGCATCAGACTTCTTGGGAAAAAATGTGTTTTGAAGTAGGGAAAATATTTTTAAATTGGATTTTCCCAATACTTCTCATTTTATAATAGCTGATAACTGGAAAAAGTATTATATTTGTTTTCTTTAATGAAAGAGTCAGTTGAATTACCAACTTTTTAATAAATTAGGCAACATCAATCTGAGTGTCATTTTTTTTCTCACTAAAATCTAACTCTATATATGATAACACATCATTATAATTCCCTAGGAGTATGATTTAGCAAAATAAAGAAGTTCTAAAAGTTTGTAGACATAACTAAATTTAGTTTTCTTGGAGCTATCAGATTGAGACTGATCTAACTGAAGTATCAGCCCAGTTCACTCTAACTATATTTGACAAAATTAGTTTCCCACTAACTCTATTTTTTTTAAAGAGAAATTGATTAAGCTTTCAATCCTTGCAAAAATAAAGCCACTGACACTGTAAAATCATCCATCATCTGCATTTTTGTTACTGTTTCTTATTTTCGTGTAGAAATCCACTAGTTTTCTTACTAACTGGGTTTTATAATTTTTATTTATTTTTCTCTCATTTCAAATTTGAGCACTCCAGATTGGAAACACTGTAATGTGCTTGGTTTAGATGGAAATATGATGGACTGTGCCATGTGATTTCCAAAGGGTGGCACTCGAACTTCCTAGAAAACTGAACAGGAGGTCACTAGCTTTCCCAAAGTGTAGCGTTTTGTTCCGTGGCATGCCTTCCAGTTTTGATGCAAGACAATCTGTTCCTTATCTGCAGGTTCAAGGAGAATGTAAAACAGTCGTCTAACTTTAAATTCCCTTGCTTTGGTTGATTCATTATTCTGTAGTATCATTGCTACTTAAAAAATCCATTTTTAAGGTCCAATTCTCTTTCTGGACTGAATACCATGTTTTAATATCCATTACTATTATTGAGTTAGAATTGAACACATCAGCTAAAAAGGACTAAAATGTTATTACTGTGTCATAGATGATTCTGGGAATGATACTTTGATTTATAGCTTTGGATGTCCTTTATTTTAGTTTGAGAAAACATAAAAGCCAGTTTGAAGTCATTTACCTAATTTAGTGGATACATTTGTCTGATATTATTAATGGAGAAGTGCTATTTGCCACTTGGAAGCAATCCATGATCGTGTGCAGATTCTGCCAGCATAGAGGGGACTTACTTAATTCCTTCACTCACAGCCATTTATGCCTTTTAATTTCAGTCCCTGATCTTTGAAGATAGGTCTTCAAGAGCCAAAGCAGTTAAACCCTTTTTCTGTGATTAAACAAAAAAAGAAGGAAATAAGAATAGGGATGTGAAAAAAAGTATTTTATATTGAATTACTATTCTGTCTTGTTCAGCAAAAAATGAAAGTGACTTGCTAAAAAGATTTTGCAAGTAGTTTCTATAGAGACTAATAATGGCAGGACTTACTGATATTTTAAACTGGGAGCCATAACTTTTATTAACCTCCCTCCCCCACCTTTCCTCTCCCCCACCCCA